GATAAAGAGAGGTGGGGGAAAAACCTGGTTCCTTCAGCAATTACTGATGCCTATTATGTGCTAAGATCCGTTTTAGGAGAAGCAATGAGCAAAAGTTCCTGTCCTCCTACCCTAAAGGGTAGGAGGACCCTTTCTTTTCACATATTGAGATATAGGGAAGTCATTCTGGCTTACATATGAGTTAACTTGAATTTGATGCTAACTAAAATAGCCTGCTGTGGCCTATCAAACATATATTGTACATCTGCTTTAATTCTTAAAGGAAAGGACATATTGACTACAAGAATGTCCATGTTAAAAATAAAGATTAAATGTCCCTTTTCCGGGGACGCCAATGCTGGTCCTCCTTTGATGGTAAGACTCTCTTCCCAGGTACCAAGGCCATACTGTACATGCTGTACGGTATGTGCTAGTCTATTTTTTGAAACCTTGAAGAAATGTATCCCTGACTTGTTTAGTGGTCTTTGTTCTGATAAGATATAAAACTGTGCTAGAAACCCTGCTTCTCTGGAGCAGTTTCTCAGAGTAATCTGGGAAACAGGCTTCCAGGCTAATCCTGTTTGGCTCAAATAAAACTCTTCTATTCTTTGTTTTTCCTTTTTTAGTTTTATTTTCTATTCTTATTATTGATTATTTTTGTCGACAGGGGAAAAGGATAACAAAATAGGGAAACCACAAGGTATGTTAGTGTGGTGTGAAGTGATGCATATGGAGGAAAGTAAAAGGGAATAGAAAAGAGCCGGGGGAGGGGAGAGCTGACATTTAAAATCAGGTGCTGATGGCAGCCCCCACTGAGAAGGTAAGATCTAATCAAGGCATACACAGGGGGAACAGCAACCAAAGAGGCTCTGAGACAGTACTTACCTGTCAGGTTCAAAAACTAGCTAGAAGGCCAGCGTGCAAGAGTATCGTGGGCACCAGGAAAGCAGTGGGAGGTGAGGTCAGAGAGTCCACAAGAAGGCTGATATTTACTGAGCGCTGCTTAGTGCCAGGTAAGGTGCAAAGTGCTCTCATTTAATCTTTACAACTTTATGGGTTATGTATGTATTATTATCCTCCATGCTACAAACAAGGAATTTGGGGCTCAGAGAAGTTAATTAACTTTCCTGAGATGACTCAGCTTAAAAGTGGTGGTACTAGAATAAGAATTTAGACTCCAGAGTGTATCATCACAACCAGTGCACATACCACCTTCCAGTGAACCTGTCTGGGACCAAAAGTTCAGAGGTGCTGGGGTGGAGGAAAGGTCAAAGGTGGCCCCAGGGGAGAAGAGGTGTATTTAATTAGGACTAGAAAGTGGTCTTGTTCAGTGAGAACCCGGAATTAGGAGTCAGAGTCAATAAAAGTCTTGCTGAGACAGAATTGGGGGATTAAGCATAGGGAAGAGGGTTGGAGCAGACACAAACCCCCATCCCACAGCATCAGCTGGGAACTCACCTGAGGCTTCGGAAGCTTCCAGCCTCTGCTCTCTCAGGGGTCCGCTCCTCAGGAAAGTCCCAGGAAGCAGCTTCTCTTCCCTCTTCTTCCTCATCACCAGCCTCACCACACAGCTGCCCAGCCAGGAGAGGTACAAGTCCCAGAGCCTGCAGCCGGCCCAGGGCCCCAGTATCATAGAGGAAACCCACAAGGGCGGCCACAACACGAGGGTGCCAGGTGCTGGCGCGAGGATCCCGCAGCAGGCCCATCAGCAGCTCCAGACCACCAGCATCCCGCAGTCGGGCCCGGTTGATGGCCTCCCGGCACAGCAGACACACAGCCCGCACCAGGGGCTGCTGGGAGGCGGGGCTGGCCCCGCTGGGGCCCCGACGCCGCCGAAGCTCACCTAGTAGCACCTCCACGCCACCAGCATTGCCCAGAGCAGGCCGCACCAGGCCCTGGGCACACAGGTTGGCAAGGATCAGGATAGTTGCCTCACGCACTGCTCTTTTGGGGTGGGAGGCCAGGCCGACCAGTGGGCCAAGTCCCCCACCCAGACTTAGCTGCTCAGCACAGGCCCGGGAGCAGCCTCGACTCAGCTCCAGGAGGGCACGGACTAAGGCCAAGGTAAGTGCAGGGTCTGGGGCAGCGGCCAGAAGCTCAGCCAGTGGGCGCACCGCTCCCTGCTGCGCTAGGGCCAGGCGGTGCTGGGGTGAATCTGCCAGGTTGCGAAGGGCACGAACCACACTCTGCCGGCACTGTGAATCCTGGCAGGCCGTCAGGCTCTCAACGAGCAGGGGGACAGCACCTGGAGAGGGAAGAAGAGGACAGAGGGTGAGCAAGGAAAGACCCTCAAGTCCCTTGTCCACCCCAGGTCCTAGCTGACTCCCCCCTCGGAGACTGCTCACCAGCAGAGTGGATGTCCCCACAGCTCTCAGGTTCCATGGCTAAGTTCCCCAGAGCACGGGCTGTTCGGTTCTGGATGCTGTCTGTCTTCACACACTGAAGAATGGTCACTGCAAGAGAGTTTGGCCTCTTGAGGGTTCTACTTCTTCTTGTCTCTCTCATTAATTACCTCAAGAATGTGGCCTGAGAGAGACAGGGAAGGTCTGCAGAATAGGCTAACACTTGCTGGGTCTGGAAGGTTCAATAGGTAGGTATTTGCTAGAAGGATGGTGGACAGAAGTGTTATAGGGCATTTCAGGTTTGGAAGCAAACTTTGTAAAGGCCCAGAGGTGAGACCAAGTGTTTATGCTATGACCTCATGAAGGGCCTTGATCAGGATTTGAATGTGAGGATGCTGGGAGCAACAGAGGGTTTTAGGAATGGGAGTGATATGATATAATCTGGCAGCCATGGGGACAATGACTACAGCGGAGAAGAATAAGGCAGAGGGAGCAACACCGAGGTTGTCACAATAGTGAGAAAATGGCTTGAACCAAATCAGCTACCAGCACAGTCCAGCACATGGGCACCATTTTCTGGGCACATGATGGAAGAACGCAAATAAGTGATGGTTTCAGGAGATATTTAAAATATAAAACAGAGAAGGAATGACAGGGTTATACACTAACAACAAAACCTATCATTTATTGAGGATTTATAAATGTGCCAGGCCTCTCGTTGAATACATCAAGGTCTGCATGCATTTTTGCAAATTTTAAATGTTAATGCTTTATTTTATTCAAAAAATTAAGAGTTCATCAAAATAGGCAAAATTTCATAGCTGGCAGGCAATGACATGTAAACTGTGTTCACATTGTTGCCACTAGGAGGCACCAATTTAACTGGTGAGTAGAAAACCTTGCCATTTTTTGTTAGGATTTGTTCTGTTTTTTTTTTTAATTGAAGTACAGTTGATGTGCAATATTATATGGTATAGGTATACAATACAGTAATTCACAGTTTTTAAAGGTTACATTCCATGAATAGTTATTATAAAATATTGGATTAGGATTTGTTCTTATTGTTCTAGTTTTTTTTGGGGGGAAGATAATTATGTTTATTTATGTATTTAACCCAGGACCTCGTGCATGCTAAGCAGGTGCTCTACCACTGGGCTATACCCTCCCCTCTTATTGTGCTAGTTTTTAATAACTGGAAGTACTCAGTCCATGCTTAGAGTATCTGAGTTCTATTTTTGTATTCCATTTTCTCCCTACCCCAATTTTTCGAGGTAGCTATTACCCCATATTACAATCCCAGCCTGGGAGGGTTCTAGCTGACTGCAGAGCCCACTTCCTTAATCACTACTCCTGATCTCCCGCTCATCAAATGGGACTTAAGAGCCCTGCACAAGGCCAGACACTCAGTAAGCACTGAGTGCCTGCTATGAGCATAAATGTAGGTTGAGTCATCTGAAAGAGTCATCAAATAACCCTTTGGCTCCAGCAGCCCAGATGCGAGAGAGGTGCTCCACAGTCAATACCCAGATCATTGGCTGTAATTATCTGACCTAGGAGGGCTAGGGTACGATCTATAGAGAGGCCAGTGACGTCACGGGCCATGACAGCTTGAGAGGTGGGGGAGCTGCGCCGTCATAAAGTGCATTCTTTCAGGATACAACACAAAGAACTAAAGACCGCTTAGGCCCAGATAGGGACAGAGGCGTAGTTGGAATCCCTCTAGGATATGAGGGCGGAGCACTTACCCAATGGGAGAATGCCCCCGAGTCTGCGCACTTCAGCCCGGCACGCCCCTTCCGTACAGC